CCTTGAGATGAGAAAATAAGCTCTGCCTTCGGTGCAGCAGCAACAGTACGTCCTGTTGCCTCAGCTTCTCCCCCCCGCAATGCTCCCCAGCACCAGGGTATGTGGGCAGCCAGGAGCCTATGTTCAAGGTCATACAGGGGCACTTCCTCCCTAGCTCTTGTGTAGCACCACAGCCTCTCTCCAGCTCCTGCACCTGGCACAGCTGGGGAGAGTCACCAGGTTTGTCCAACACCTGAGATCCTGGAGTAGAAAAGAAATACAGTTCTGTTGGGAATGAATGGAGTAGGGCTGGAGCAGTTTTAAATAGACACCAAATTAATGGATAATGCTGTGACACTTGACTGGTTTAACTAATGTACTCCCGAAACGTAGCCAAAAGTAGAATGACTTTCCAGGTGAGAAACTGAAGGAGGAACACTGTAACTAACATGGTCCCGCAGAACTCCACGCAGAGCTCGCCCTGGCATAGGATAATACATAAATCACACCCATACGCAGAACCGAAACTGAGCAGCACAAGGGCTTAAAGGATTAAAAACTTACCCTGGAGACTGGAGTCATTTCTCGTGCAGTCACCAGCCTCAAATTACCTCTTAACATCTTACAACTGGCAATAATCAGTGCTCAAAAGAAGGACGAAGCATTGCGCTCAGCTCTAACCATTTTTTTCCCTTTTTTTCTCTCAGTGAACAGCCTCAGAACCCCAGTTCTTTAGACAAAGCTTTACTTTCTGAAGGCAAAAGGAACTCGGTGGGACTTGTTGCCTAGTGCAGAAGATAAATACAATCAACCACCTGTTGTGAAGCAGTGGATCCTGACAGAGCCTCTGTCTCTGACAGATATAGAATGCTTCCTGTTACTGCTGCTATGATAAATAAGAAGTAGGTGAGTAAATTCATCTGTATGTGGCTCAGGGCTAGCACTATAACGTCAATTTGCTGGTGCAATGGTCTCCTGCGGCCCAAGTCTCCTGACCATTCACACCGCAGGCAAGATAGCTTGTTCCACAGCAACAATCTTGCCCATTTTAGAAGCTGGCAAAATCAGCTTAGTTGTCTTTAACTTTGCCTAAAATCAGCTTATCCAACAATGCTGAAGAAACTCAGCTGACACTGGAAAACGCTTCCTGCATCTTGCTGTAGCACTAGCAGAATCATTCCTGCCTGCAGAAAGAAACTAGGAGCTCATGATCAGAGGCTGATAAGGATGACCGGCTGTACCTTCCTTCTGTGGGAAGCGACAACCCAAGACTTTCAGAAAGCTCACACCTCTCACATCCCACTCCCTACATACATACTTCAAGTAGGAGCCAGATCACCTTTGGTAAAGTGGTCTCCTACTTTCATACAATTATTTTAATTAGTATTGCTCAAAACAACCAGATCAGTCTATCCTAGCCATTTCATGGTTTAAAAAGAATTAACTTAAAATATAACATAACATGAGTGGTCTTTCACTCAAAATCAGAGGGCATTCAACTCTCTGATGGACTCCTGACCTAAATCTCACTGAAATTAACTCCCCTTGACACACCACATTGTGTAAAACTGGGTATTAAATGTAGTTTACACCTATTTTCACACCATTGTAACGCTGTAAAGGAGCTCAGTATAGCACATTATTGTAATGCTGTAAAGGAGCTCAGTAAATACAAAATGTAATTCAGTGCTGCTGTAGCATTGTCAGATCCCAATCAATGAACTGCACTGTTTCTAACTTTAAGGACCTCATTGGTGTTTTCAAAGCCCATATCACAAGTTTCATTAGACTTACATTTCTAAATACAGCTATCACATTAAGCTTGTAAGGCATGTAGGTTTTTTTTTTTTAATTCTGCCTTTATTCTTGCTAGAATTTCTGACCATTATAGGAAGTAACAGAATTGGAGGAAGATCATGTCAAACCATAGCAAATGAGCGCCAGAGTTCTGTCTGTCTCAGCTCTGCAGCAAAGAAGATTCTGCGCTACCTGATGTTCCCTACTTCTAGTAAAAAAGATCATTTTAGGATGTGCTCCCCTCACCCTATTCCTAAATTTTTTCATGTGTAAAATGCGCTCCTTCCCCCAGAAATCTAATATTTAAGAGGCACTATTTTAATAAATACCATTAAATCTGCAACAGGCTCCCCTGAGTGAATCTCATTGTTAAAAACATCAACACAGCACTTCATTTTAATTCCATCTACTCCAGCCCCAAAAGATGCCTAACACAACACCTACACCAGTAACACTGATCTCTCCTCTGTGCCCATTCTTAAGCCTGCGGGGAGACATGGCAACAGCACACATGCTCTATCTTCTGTTTCACAGGCCTGGGAAGTTTAAAGGCAGGATGAGGAGCCAGACCACAGAAGCAGCTGCTTCCCAGTGGAGCAATTCCAACATGGCTGCTCCTTCCCATGAAGGAGGGGAAACAGAGAAGGGCAAGCAGTCAGAAGGGAATTTCCCCAGGCACTCGAGTTTTCTTTGGAAACGCATGAAGAGGTATACAAATACAGAGTCTACAGGCACAATTCACAGGACCTGGCAAGTTTGCTTTATACAGGAAGCAACTGTCTCCTAAATTTTAGTGACAATCTAACAGTGGCATAAAACATATGCATCTTTCAGGTTTTATGGAAGTTTTGTGTTTGTAGGTTGATCTTTCATACAGTCTTGCTGAACTGTGATTCACATTTACTTTAGCAGGCATTTAAAAACATTTGCACCTGTGTAGTATTATATTTTCTAACTTCGTAACTCAAACAGCTATTATTTAAGGCATTTTATTCAATTTTTTAAGATGTTCATACAATGTATTCAACCTTTGAAGACACTCAAGCCCCCTAAAATTTGTGCTTCTATAGAAACACATTTGTAGATACTTCAGTATCAGTCGTACATATATCTTCTCTTATGTTGGATGTGTCATGAACACTTGCCTACATGAACAACAAGAATGCCAAAAAATCTCCTAAGTCTGGCCAGAATTGCAATATTTATACTTGAATTAAAATTAATTCCATGTGCAAGTTAAAGTAGCACTCCATCAATAATGCATTTCAACCACTGTCTGTGGTATGGCACTGAGGCATCTCTTTTCAGTTTCATCTGACGCTAGGGATTTCTTGCTTTATGTAGCTAAGAATCACTAGAGAATTATTATAAATATATCTTTAAGCACTCCTTTGTTTACTTGCATCTAATTTAGAGAACCATTGGAAGACTTGGGTGTACATGTATACATAAACAAACGTTCATTTGAATTTTCATAACAAAACTATTTTTGCAAGATGGACTTTCGTATTATAAACACTTCCTTCCAGGTGCTCACAATCTCATCAAAAATGCTCCTCTTTCTCATTCTAGTTCTAAGCTCTTAAGTAATTTCGATTGTTGACAGCCTGAACAAAATATATTACTTCCTAAAATAGAGAAGCATGAAAAATGCATTTTTCTATTCACCATTCTCACACTTTACTCCAAATACTTTCATGCAAGTGTAGACAAGTTTCCATATTGAAGCAAGTCCCATACTAAAATCTAAATATGACTATATTCAAGATCTAAATAGGAGATAAGATTTGAGAATTACATAACCGGGAGCAAAGAGCCTTAGCTGTAAAGAGTTTGTCCACAGATGGGCCATTGAAAAGATTTCTGGGAGTTCATCAGCAGTAATCCTCTCTAGGAGACCTCAGGTCTTTCCTAAAAAGCAGCATGGTTATTTCTCTCAGCTCTCAGGAAAGTGCAAAGGAAGAGGCAGTCCATAAAACAGACAGAGTCAAGCCATCAGCAGATTGAAAACTTTGAAAACAACACCTTGAACTGTAATTACACGCAACAGAAACAAGCGTATCATGTAAAGCGTATAGGTAATGTGCTTAGCATTAGGGGAACAGCTAAGCAAATAACAGGTTGAACGTTACACCAGATTAACTTGCAAACTTTCAGAATTAATTAATAAATTTAAACTTTCAGCACAGCCTAAATGAATGGAATATAAAGCTCCTACCTAAAAATGCCAAGGTATAAAGAACCATAGAGAGATTCATATTATTCATGCATTTTTATGTCTCTTTGGCTACAGTCACTGCCATAGGTCCCACATACGCTAACTGAGAAACAGCAGTGAGAGTGGATTAAATACTGTTTGTTTAACAGACAGAAGGAGTTATTCTACTGCAAT